AATAAAATCGGAATTTTTGCTGTTATCGTGATAAAAATTTACGATTTGATATCGGAATTTTTCCGGGTCTCTGGTAATTGGTATTAAAAAACTAACAAAGTGGGAGCATTTTACATCAAATCACATGATATCAACCATTCCAATTTCTCCGAGACGACGATAATTACACACGTGATCTCTGTTAATATTGTTAATATTATGGAAAATATAGTCGAAGCTTATAATAGTGATTCTAGTAACAACGAATCCGAAAATAAACAAACCTTTCTTCAAGAAGATGCCGTAACTGTTGAATTAGATTCAACACATTCTTCACAGAATTCTATTCCATATGCTTCTTTCAATAAACAAAAAAGAAAAAGATCAATAGAGGGAACAATTACACGTTTTTCACACAGTCAACATTCAACAGAAATTCCACAAAAAAAAGTTAAAGGTTATATTTCAAAGCGCGAGAAGTTAAAACAGGAGGCCGAAAAGTTAAAAGCTAATACAAATGAACACTCAATAGCAGTAAATCAGGAGAACCGTGATACGGTCTCTTATGTTGGAACCTTACTGAAGCTACCTAATCTAATAATTTCTGCATTAGAAGACACTCGGGATGAAAGTAAAGCCCGTTTTAATACTATTCCAAAACAACAAATCATTTCTCTTAAAACTGAACATGTTAATGGAGTGAATTCTATTTTATGGTGTGGTTCATTTGGTGAGCGTTTCTCTATTAACTGAGAATTAAAATTAAATCTTTCCACTAATATCTATTATATATTAAAAGGTCAAGTGTTGGCTTCAGCCTCTATGGATGGTACTGTTCGAATATGGGATGTATTTAGATCAAAGCAATGTGTTCGAATTTTACGTCATGAAGGTATTCGTGATCTTCTTGTCTGCCTTCCTTCTTTACGCGTTTTTTCGTATTCAAATCTCTTTAATAATTATATTAGGGGCAGTAAAAGACATTCGGTGGGATCATACTCGTAACCATATACTTTCAGGAGGATACGATAAGATCGTAAAATTAACTGACATTGAAAAAGGAACTAAAATTCAGGTACAAGATCATTAAGATCCATTGCTTTAGTTAAGCCATTTTTTATCGTAGTTATTCATAATTTTTATTTTTATCCTTATTTTTTAAATATAAATAAAACATAGTCATTCCCACATTCACATATAGTCACTTCACTTCGTTATCATCCTACGCAATCAAATATTTTTGTTTCAGGCATGATAAAGGATGGAATATATTCTTGGGATATTCGCTCTAATAAAATTATTAAAGAAACCAAAAAATTTTGGGGAAGCGTTAACGATTTAGAATTTTTTCCTGATGGTAATAGTTTACTCACTTGTTCTGATTATGTTGTAAGGAATGCCTCTGACAAGAATATTGTAGTTTGGGATTATGATTCAGTAAGTTTTTTTATTTATCGTCATGTTAAAACTTACGGATTATTCACACGTCATGTGTATTAAATAAATAATATTATTTCAAAGCTTACAACTATATCAAATCAAATTTATCAAGAAACATATTCATGTACCGCTTTAAGGATCCATCCTTCCAAGAACCATTTTATAGCTCAATCTAATGCAAATTATATCCCAATATTTGGAATGAATAAACCTTGGAAGTTGGATAAACGCAAGGTATTTTTTTTTTTTTTTTTCGCCTTTTCAACAATCTTTTCAAACTAAAATGTTTCGCGTGCTTTGTTGATGCTTTAACAGAGATTTGAAGGACATTTAGTTAATGGACATCCAATTAAATGTAATTTTTCACCCGAACCAGATTTGGGTCGTTTCATTGTTTCGGGTGATTCAAATGGTGGATTGTATTTTTACGAATGGTCATCTTCAAAAATTGTAAAAAAAATTGAAAATGCTCATCAAAGAATTTGTACAGATGCGTGTTGGCATCCTGTGTTAAATGGGGTGGTTGCGAGTTGTGGTTGGGATTGTAACGTACGAATATGGGGATAATTGATAAACGTTTAATTGATAATTGATTCCTAATTATATTTATTATTTAATATCAATATAATTTTAATCAATAACGATAATGATATGTATAAATGTTCTTGGGTCGAAATGTATCTTTAGTAAAAAAATTTTCGCGTTTTTCCATTATTAGTCCAAATTAAATTATTAGTATTTATTTTCCGTAAATATTTCCATCTATAGATGGAGTACCGTACACTTTTGCATCCATAGGTGGAGGAATCCACCGATGAGGAAATGCCGGTAAAGTAGGAGGCATTGAAGGAACCGGCATGATATTTGAAGTAGTTTGTGGTGGTTTCTTGGTTTTTTGTTTTATAATATTGCCTTGGGCTCCAAGTTTTGCCGTTGAATTATCGCGAATCGGAGGCGACTTCGGTCGTAAAGCCTCAATTTCTATTGAGGAAAAAAAAAAAATTTACATCCAATTTTTTTTAAAAATCAAAAAAAATAAGTATTTACCATTTGTTGAACCAAGGAGATGTCCATTTGGCTCAGAAAAATATGACGAATAAGTTGTCACGTCAAAGTTTGAACTTGATAGGCCCAAGCCAACAGTTAACCATCCTGGACGAATATTATGATCCTTTTATTATATGGCAAATATAAAATCATCCTCAAAAAATGACTTAGTTTTTCGCAATATAGTTCAAGTTCAACGCAAAGGTAAACGAAAAAAAATAAAAATAAAAATACCTCGCCAAATAATTCGAGTCTCCTACGTCCAAGACAGAAATGTTCTATGATGTGGTACAATTCCTCGGGTTTAGCTGTACCCACTTTAGAATATGATAAAAAGTATACCCCTCAGTTAAGTGTTCTTAACCAAAGAACATTTTACTTTTTCATTGTAAATTTGAAAACTGACCTCCATAATGTGGCTCTTCTGATATGATCACATCAGTGTCCACATTACAATGTATGAAATGGCCGTCCGTGCTACGCCTAACTGTTCCTTTGATACCCATGATACAATGTTCTTTGGTACGTTGAAAGACTGATCTTGGCTCAATGAAATGACTTCCCTTCCATTTCTTATTTGTTTTTATCCAAACAATATCTTCACATCTACGATATCCCCACTTTAAAAGTAATTGTCTCCCACGATCTAAACCATCAGCATCTCCAGACCAAATGAATATGAATGAAGGTGTCGCAGCAGCATCTTCAATTTTAAGATTGGCGTAAGATTACAAGTTAAGGGGAAATATATAACAAATTTACTTTTAATCCTAATAAATGTGTTGAGAGGGAAAACAAAAGGATATAATTTCGTCATAGGTCCAATAATCTGAATTTGAACCCGCTACCAACGGAGACCTTCTACAATACCTGAGTATTGCAATATAATTATTAACCGACAATAAAATAACAAGTTATAACTTCGTTAAATTATTACATAGGGAAAAAAAACAAATACAAACTCTTGTAATGGTGGATCGATTAAGATGACATCGAATTTCGTTCCAAGAGATTTCAAGTCTAATGTTCTAAGATCAGCCTTTAAATATGTTGGAGGGGTGGCTCTTTCTGCCACCAATGCGTTCTTCTTTTTTGTGAGTTCTTTGAGTTTTGGATATTCGTCGAATCGTTGAGACAATTCGGTATCACGGATGAAATTTTGGGGTCGTCGACCCGAGTCCACAAAATGCTGACAATAATCATTACGGATTGTTTTTTCTCCATCCTGATATAAATTATGATATTCATTAATTTGATATTTTTGCTTCTCATCTAATATATTCATTGTAAGAGTTTTTTTGGGGTAAGGAACTTTAAATTCGAAATTATCTGCAATTCTCTTTTGATATTTGTTAGCATTTTTGCTTCCCGACGAAGCAATTTTGTTATCAATAGAAATATTTTGTGCCCTTGGTTTTTGTGCTACTGATCTCTTTGGCTTTTTGTCGCGTTTCTGACTTGGGAATGGGTCTTTGAATTCTTCTACCGAGGCTAATTGAAGTCTTCGGCGTTTTTGACGTTCGCGAAGCACTACGGTTAACCGATTATGAGCAATCTTTAATTCTTCGACGTCTACCTTGTAATTATCATCCATTGTGTTATGATAATAAATAAACCTTCTATAAATATTATTTTTTTTTTTTTTTTTCCAAAGCGTGAAGGTTTTTGATAACAAAAAACGCAAAAATTTGAATTCTCACGGTTTCTCATAATAACTTGTGACACGGTTACACGTACACGCAGTGTTGATCAGTTCAACAAGCTTAACAAAAGCATCGGAAATTTATAATATAGGCATGGTTATGTGGGAATTTAACAATTACCGATCTAAATCAATAAAAAAAAGTTTTTTTCAATTTTTATGTTTTAAAAATGACAATTGCAGAAGAAATTAAAAAAGAATTGGACAAGGCAGAGAAAAGATTGGTTGATGTTGAAGAAAAGTTGAAGAGACTGGAGAAGTTGAGAAGAGGTGTAGAAAAAGAATATTACGTTGGTGAGCTGCGAAATTTAGAAGGAAAAGAAGAGGGATTGGAGAAGGAGAAGAAAGAATGGGGGGAGGAAGTAAGGAAATGGAATGAGTTGTGGAGAAAGGAATGTAATAATGAAAAAGGTAACGAACAAATTGCATAAAAATAATATTATTTTTCGTTCATTCCATTTCGTTTATTTATTTTCTATTATCATGGAATTCATTTGATTAACAATGCATTAAAATTTTCATAAAGAACCCAAGCATTTTATTTCTCCTGATGAATATTCTTTTAAAAGAATGTGTTTGGATGAAGATACTCCGCTTTTTAAATTCTGGAAGGATGTTCAGAATATTGAAATTAACAAAAAAATAATTTCTCTAACAGAAGGTGTTTACTTGTTGGGTGAAGCAAATCAAGGATCAAGTATTTTTGTTCGTCAATGTTATTCGGATCTTTCCAAGATAATTTTTGATAGTGATAAATTGGAAAACTTTTGCATTTCAGGAACTCCAGGTATTGGAAAAACATTCTTTATTTATTACCTGCTTATCCAACTGATAAAAAAGGGGGAAAGTGTAATGTATGATCGAGTCAATCAGAGACCAGTTTTCTTTCATCAAGGAAACATATTTCAGGGAAATTTAGATCTATTTGATAATGAATTAAATAAATCAGATGTTTGGTATCTTGTTGATGGACATCATCCAATGAAATATGAGGCCAAAACTATTCTTGTAACTTCACCACAAAAAGAGAACTATCGAAACTTTCAGAAGTGGGCTGGAACAAATAAACATTTTATGCCAGTATGGACTTGGGATGAAATATCTGCATGTATCTCTAAAAATATTTATGATGATTCAGCAGGGAGTCTAAAGGTTACTTCCAAAGTTTTATATCCCAAAGTTGATTATGAAAAAGCCAAAAAATTGTTTGGAATGTGGGGAGGCATTCCACGAGTTGTTTTGCAAAAAGCAAGCACAGTACCAATAAATTTGATAAATCAAGAAATGGAAGGTGCAATCAGAATTTGTGACCTTGATATGATAGTAAAAATAATTGGAGATGTGGTTGATCCTAAACTTGATTTTAACAATAAGGTTGTGCATATTTACACTAATGTTCCTGATGAAGAACCAGATTATATGGATAATAATACTATGGATGTGTGTAAAGAACTTGATGTTTCATCATTTCCACCATACACTCAGCAATTGGTACTCTTTGCATCAACATATGTAAGTGAAAAGATTATTAATCGTTATGAGGAGGAAAAAAGAGACCAGTTGTATAGTTTTTTATCAGCAAGTAAAGATCAGATGGGGTATGAAACTTTGCGAGGAAACATATTTGAGGCAGTAGCACATAGAATTTTGCGAACTGGTGGAGTGTTTGAAACACGTTGTCTAGAATATGAAAATGATGAAATAAAAATGGAGAAATTCCCTAGACTTGAAAATAAAATCTTCCAATCAATAGATGAGATTAATACACATAATGAATATTATCAACCACAACAAAAAAATTTCACTTCAGTGGATTCATTGGTTTTACCAAATATGTTATTTCAGATGACTATTAATCAGGATCATGGTATAAAGGTCAAGGGATTAAATGACCTTATAAATATACTTGATGTTGAAAGAGAAATCAAATTTTATTTTATTATGCCACCAGAATGTTTTGATAGAATGAAAAAGCAACTATTTCATACCAGAAAAGGGGAAAATTCAAAAAGACTACCATCCTGGATTAAGGATAAAGTAAAACAATATGTTCTCAAGGTTGATTTGGCATCTAATTATAAGTCTTAAAAATTGGTGATATGAAATAAATGATGAAATGGATAGATTATTGTTGTTTTAGAAGAAATTCCTTTTAGTAAGGCAATTTACTATTATTACAAAAATGCAATTCTTTTTTAATTCTATAGTTCAAAAAAAATATTTTTATTATTATCATATAATTGTCACACTTTGTTGTATTTTTTCTGAAATTATTAATAAAAATCCAGTATCCGAATAAAGCATTATATAACTGTTTTAATTGATGATCCTTTTATGATCAGCAGTAAATTTCCAATTTTCAATATAAAATTTGGGAATAAGATAAATATATAAATTTTTGAGTAAACTTCAAATCTCAGAAGAATCACTATCAAAACTCATTTTCTAATGTCAAACTGTTACTACATTCATGTTGCTCTTTGAAATAAATGCTCTTTAGTAAGCAAATTACATTATAGACCATTTTCTCATTATTGGTGGCAGTCTTCTGATATTGAAAAGCATTTCCTATTTGTGGTTTTCTTTTTGGATCAATAAAGAAAAATAATCTTTGAAAAGGTAAGTGTCTTTGAAAATATACAAGTTCAAATATAATAAGTCAACAACACCCACTACTACATCTTGAAAACAATGCTATTATTACTCAACCACTAGATTATTTAGTCTTTAGAGTATCATAATTATTTGTTATTGTTATTATTATTATTGTTATTAATATTTAAAAAATAGAAGGATTAATGAGCAGACATAAGGATCTTGAGTAATACAACTAGAACTGTTTGTTTATTAATTCATTAAGAATTTTCTTAATACAGGTTACTAACATTGTATTAATATTTGTTTCCTCTATAGTTGAACAATGGATGATTGTTGTGTGACTATCAAAAATATTCTACATAGTTGGTATTACTAACGGGTAATAGATAATAATATTATATACTATTAATAATAATTCTTATTTTATACAACATTGTATTAAACAAATCTATAGTTAAACGATGAATTATTATTATGCAGCCATCAAAAATATTCTAGTTGATTTATATTACTTTTGTTCTTCTATGGTTGAATAATGGATTATTATTACACAATCATCAAAAATACCACAATTGATATATATTACTAATAATAATTCCCATTGTATATATAACCATTATAAAATAGATCTAAGTTAAATGACTAATTATTGTTATGCGACCATCAAAGAAAAAAAATTTAACACAGGAATTATAAATCCAAACCTTAAAATGAATACAGAAAATATGTATGAGGAACTATTGGAACATATACAAGAAGAAGAACTTGAAGAAGAGGAACTTTCAAGAATTTTAACATTACTAATTAGATTACTAGAACTTCTACAGCTTGGAAAAAAAATGGCAGAAGAAACATTATGCACTTTGGAGTTCTAATTTCAATTTTTTATCCAATAAAAATAAAGAAAAATTATTTTAAAACATAAATTTGATTAGTTTTTCAATCTTGAATCTGTGGGAAAGCCAAAGTAAAGTCTTTATTAAGAAGAAAAAAAAAATTTTTTTTTTTATAAATGAACTAAATGGGATATCAAACATGTTATTATGTGGTTAAATCACAAGGTTACTACATTTTTTTATGTCCATTTTCCTTGATGAATTTTACGCTCTGAAAAAATAACATAATAGATCTGCAAATTTTCTTCTTAAAATCTTATAATAATTTGCTGCTGTTCATAAAAGGATTGTCAATTAGCAATAATATATGAATATGATTTTTAAAAAAAAATTTTTTAGTAGATTATTTAATAAAAAGCTTACAAAGTAAACATAAGATTATATATATTAATATAGGGATAAGTGTATATGAAAAGTAATAATAAAAGTAACAATTATAATAGTTCTAATAAATATCACAAAGCCATTGATTTTTTAGAAAAAGGCTGTGGTTGTGATTGCTCTTCAAAAATTCCCAAAGAGGAATTTGCAGAATTAAGGGAATCCTTTCAAGCCCTTTCTAAACCAGAACAAGATATATTTTTAATGGCTCAACTTAAGGTAATGGATGGTAGATCAATAAGCACTAGTAGACACCTTAAAAGAAATCCAGATCTAATAAAAGAACTTTCTATTATTGGGATCACAATACACCTCTTTGTCAAGAAACTTATCTCAATATGTTGGGAATTGGTAGGACTTATTTTGAAAATATTAGGAATCATCTGATAAACAGTGATCTTTTACCAAGAATTTATGATAATATTAAAAGAATGCCTTAATGAAAAACTAAAGTGGTGATTGATAAAAATATTGCTGAAGTAGTAAAGAATTTTCTGGAAAATTATGCAGAAGTTCATGGATTACCAAGTCTAGGGAGAAGTATCAATAGAATAACTCAATCAATTGTATTCTTACCAGCTGAAATGAGTTATAAATCAGTTCACAGAGATTTTCTAGCTAGTTTAGAAGAAGATAGTAATTTGAATTCTTTGAAGTATGATGCCTTCAGAAAATTATGATATCAATTGACATCAGAAATTCAAATTATGAGTCCCAGGACTGACTTGTGTGATACTTGTCAACACTTCAAAGATGGTTTACATTATAATTCTCATCAAGAAGAAGAAGCTAAAGAATTACTTAAAAGATTTAAAGAACATTTGTCTAAGGCCAAATTAGAAAGGAATTATTATAATAAAATACTAAATTAGCAGAAAAACAAAGAAAATTAGTTAATCAAAATTATTCAAAAGGTAAAACACAGTATTACAGTATTAATGCTACTGCTCATTATAGCTATAATTGAGCCCAAAATGTTCATGTGCTACATTTAGATCAACAAGTAAGTAAAATCTATTACCTTAGTCCATATAAAGTTCATTTATTTGGTATTCAGAATAAAACAGTAAGAGAGCAAATTAATTATATTCTTAATGAAAATGAAATTATAGGAAAAGGACCTGATAGAATTCTTAGCATGATTTTTGATAGAATTAAAAATTAAACAAAGGTGAAAAGCATTTAAAGATAAATAATGTAATAATTTGATTCTATTTATATTTAGTAATTTGTGATTATTATGAAAGTATTGAATTGAATTTCATGATTTCTGAACATATCAAATTCAAATGTAATGGTACAGTCAGACCTGTCTATAATCACCACTTTTGGTTTTCAAAAATTATGTGATTATAAATAGGGGTGATTATATAT